TTTACACACTCAAGGGGGAGTGTTGCTGTCCTATTTAGAATAAGAATGTGATTGTGTAAATCCTAGGAAATATGGGAATGTATCTTATATTCCTATTAGTTTTAGATTACCTATTAAATGTTGTAATCCTAAAGGGAAAGGTTTTACCCTTCCTACTACTATAAATAAAGGCACAATGGGGTGAAATAATACACACCCGCAATTACACATCTTTCTATTCTTCTCTCTATTGCCGCACCCCCTCTCTCTCTAAGGCATCCATAATTGTTCAGTAAATTATGCCTATAACAGGAAATATTATGTTTTAAGTTTGAATATTGTAGTAGCATTATGAAAATATGAAAAAGGAAGAAAGATAATGTGTAAGCCTTGGTGAGAATTTGAAGTAAGCATGAGAGTATTAGGATGTGTTTAGAAGTGTTTTTCAAATGACTGAAAACATTTTTAATGAAAGTGTCTGATTTTTTTTAACAAACGATATTATCTACACTAAGAGGGAGGGGTGGGCTTTAGCCTCACAATGGACTAGCAATAATGTGATTTAAATTCGTCTTTGGTGAGAATCGAACCTAAGACCTCTAGTTTAACTTTAGTCTATAAACTTTCATATTCGTTTTGTTTTTTAGTTCTCAAATTTAACAATGTATTGCACCATTGGTCATTTTCACTAACCTCATCATTTTTTTTTTTTTGTTAAATCTAGAGGTATATTAGGAACTTCAACTTAAAACTTAAAAAAAAAAGAATTAAAAAGAAGCTAAAAAGCAAATAAAAATTTATAAATTAATATCTAAAACTTAAAACAAAATGAACTTTGAACTATAAAAGTACAAAATGAAAATGGTTGGACTTTAGCAACTTGTAAATATTACGCAATGTGATTTCAAAGTTGGTAGGAGATCGAACTGGGGCTAGACTTGAACAACTAACAAATCACATATTGAACTATGAAAAACAAATTTCTATGTATTCAATTTTTTTACGAAAAATATCTGGTTTTTTCAGGGTTTTTTTTCTTCTCATTTCTCAAGGACTAAAAAACTAAATGTGAGTTCAAGGATTAAAACTAAACTATGGATAAATTCAGCTACCATTATTATAATTAAACCATTTGATATTGATGAGATGGATTGTGATCGATCAATTGTTACGCACAATCTACATCAAATGAATTGCTGGATAGGATCAAATTGTGGTCTCCTCTAAACTTTTTCACTAAAAATGGTTTACTCCATCAAGGTGTCTTTTTTTTTTTTGGCTTAAAAGAAAAAGACTTCTATGAAATGAACTCTCTCATGTAGCATGTGTTGGTTAAATAAATGCATTGCTATGTGGGATGAAGTTCCTAATATGCCCCTAAATATAATGGAAGAATAGACGGCAACGGTGAAAAAGACCAATCATACAACACATTGTTAAGTTTAAGGACTAAAAACTAAATGAGAGTTCAAAAACTAAAACTAAACTAGGGATAAAATATAGCGACCATTGTTATAATTAAGCCATATATTGATGGAAATGGATTGAGATCAATCGATCGATTGTTCCACACAATCTACGTCAAATGAATTGTAGGATAGGATCAAATTGTGGCCTCCTCTAAACTTTTTCACTAAAAATGGTTTACTCCATCAAGGTGTGTCTCTTCTTTTTTGGCTTAAAAGAAAAAAACTTCTATGAAACGAACTCTCTCATGTGGCGTGTGTTGGTTTAGTAAATGCATTGTTATGTTGGATGAAGTTCCTAATATGTCCCTAAATATAATGGAAAAATGGACGGCAATGGTGAAAAAGACCAATATACAACACATTGTTAAGTTTAAGGACTAAAAAACTAAATGAGAGTTCAAGACTAAAACTAAACTAGGGATAAATTCAGCGACCACTGTTATAATTAAGCCATTTATTGATGGAAACGGATTGAGATTGATTGATTGTTCCAACACAATCTACATCAAATGAATTGCAGGATATGATCAAAAAAATTGTGGCCTCCTCTAAACTTTTTCACCGAAAATGGTTTACTCCATCAAGGTGTGTCCCTTCTTTTTTGGCTTAAAAGAAAAAGACTTCCATAAAACGAACTATCTCATGTGGTGTGTGTTGGTTTAATAAATGCATTGTTATGTGGGATGAAGTTCCTAATATGCCCCTAAATATAATGGAAAAATGGACGGCAATAGTAAAAAAGACCAATCGTACAACACAATCTTAAATTTAAGGACTAAAAACTAAATAAGAGTTCAAAAACTAAACTAGGAATAAAATTCAACGACCATTGTTATAATTAAGTCATTTATTGATTGATTGTTCCAACACAATCTACATCAAATGAATTGCAGGATATGATAAAAAAAATTGTGGCCTCCTCTAAACTTTTTTCACTGAAAATGGTTTACTCCATCATGGTGTGTCTCTTCTTTTTTTGGCTAAAAAGAAAAAGAATTCTATGAAACAAACTCACTCTCATGTGGTGTGTGTTAGTTTAATAAATGCATTGTTATGTTGGATGAAGTTCCTAATATGCCCCTAAATATAATGGAAAAATGGACGGCAATAGTAAAAAAGACCAATTGTACAACACATTGTTAAATTGATGGACTAAAAACTAAATAAGAGTTCAAAAACTAAGCTAGGAATTTATTACTCGTGAGCACTAATAGATTTCACATTATTTACGTGAAACACGAATGCATTACACACATTTCATATATTTGTCGTAACTTTTCGTTTTATCAGGATATATCTTATCAAAGTGTGAAATAAATTTGATATAGGTTAATTTTAGTAATGGTCTATAAACTTTACCTCTAGTTTAACTTTAGTCTATAAACTTTCATATTCGTTTTTTTTTTTAGTTCTCAAATTTAACAATGTGTTGCACCATTGGTCATTTTCACTAACCTCATTGTTTTTTTTTTTTTTTTTGTTAAATCTAGAGGTATATTAGGAACTTCAACTTAAAACTTAGAAAAAAAGAATTAAAAAGAAGCTAAAAAGCAAATAAAAATTTATAAATTAATATCTAAAACTTAAAACAAAATGAACTTTGAACTATAAAAGTACGAAAATGGTTGGACTTTAGCAACTTGTAAATACTAGGCAATGTGATTTCAAAGTTGGTAGGAGATCGAACTGGGGCTAGACTTGAACAACTAACAAATCACATATTGAACTATGAAAAACAAATTTCTATGTATTCAATTTTCTTACAAAAAATATCTGGTTTTTTCAGGGTTTTTTTTCTTCTCATTTCTCAAGGACTAAAAAACTAAATGTGAGTTCAAGGATTAAAACTAAACTATGGATAAATTCAGCTACCATTATTATAATTAAACCATTTGATATTGATGAAATGGATTGTGATTGATCAATTGTTACGCACAATCTACATCAAATTAATGAATTGCTAGATAGGATCAAATTGTGGTCTCCTCTAAACTTTTTCACTAAAAATGGTTTACTCCATCAAGGTGTGTCTCTTTTTTTTTTTTTTTTTTTTTTTTTGGCTTAAAAGAAAAAGACTTCTATGAAATGAACTCTCTCATGTAGTGAATGTTAGTTTAATAAATGCATTGCTATGTGGGATGAAGTTCCTAATATACCCCTAAATATAATGGAAAAATGGACGGCAATGGTGAAAAAAGACCAATCATACAACACATTGTTAAGTTTAAGGACTAAAAAACTAAATGAGAGTTCAAGACTAAAACTAAACTAGGGATAAATTCAGCGACCATTGTTATAATTAAGCCATTTATTGATGGAAACGGATTGAGATTGATTGATTGTTCCAACACAATCTACATCAAATGAATTGCAGGATATGATAAAAAAATTTGTGGCCTCCTCTAAACCTTTTCACTAAAAATGGTTTACTCCATCAAGGTGTGTCTCTTCTTTTTTGGCTTAAAAGAAAAAGACTTCTATAAATCGAACTATCTCATGTGGCGTGTGTTGGTTTAATAAATGCATTGTTTTGTGGGATGAAGTTCCTAATATGCCCCTAAATATAATGGAAAAATGGACGGCAATAGTAAAAAAAGACCAATCGTACAACAAATTGTTAAATTTAAGGACTAAAAACTAAATAAGAGTTCAAAAACTAAACTAGGAATAAAATTCAGCGACCATTGTTATAATTAAGCCATTTATTGATTGATTGTTCCAACACAATCTACATCAAATGAATTGCAGGATATGATAAAAAAATTGTGGCCTCCTCTAAACTTTTTCATTGAAAATGGTTTACTCCATCATGGTGTGTCTCTTCTTTTTTTGGCTAAAAAGAAAAAGACTTCTATGAAACAAACTCATTCTCATGTGGTGTGTGTTAGTTTAATAAATGCATTGTTATGTTGGATGAAGTTCCTAATATGTCCCTAAATATAATGGAAAAATGGACGGCAATGGTGAAAAGACCAATATACAACACATTGTTAAGTTTAAGGACTAAAAAACTAAATGAGAGTTCAAGACTAAAACTAAACTAGGGATAAATTCAGCAATTACTGTTATAATTAAGCCATTTGTTGATAGAAACGGATTGAGATCGATAGATTGTTCCACACAATCTATATCAATGAATTGCAGGATAGGATCAAATTGTGGCCTCTTCTAAACTTTTTCACTAGAAAGGGTTTACTCCATCAAAGTGTGTCTCTTCTTTTTTAGCTCAAAGGAAGACTTCTATGAAATGGACTCTCATGTGAAGTTTTAGTCTAATCATACATTGGTATGTGTAAATTTTTTCCTCTGCATGACTTCAACCGAAATGCTATAATGACAATCTATCCATACTACGTGAGCCGCCTTCCGAATCAAAACTTCAAGAAAATGACATGTAACGGTCACTCACCTGCCCACCTACCATTCCATATTTTTCCAATTTTTTCTCTTCCCCGATGAACCATAAGCCAAGCAACCATTTTTACAGCCCCTACGCGTTTCCCGCAAAAGCACTTTCATATTCCCACTCCTGCCCCTCCTATATATGCACACTCCCAAATAACCCCATCTTTCTTACCAAATAAATTTTCCCCAATTTGCTCTCCTGCCCTCAGGTTTTTTTTTCAAATTCGCTCCTCCAAACCCCCACCCCTTACCCTGGGGAGAATTCAGTTCTTGCGATTGCACCATAACTAGGGTTTCCGTTCCGGAGTCCTCTCTTTCTCAGGTAAATCTATTCCAATCTCATCCCCCTTGATTCCAAATTTAGGGTTTTTAATCCCAAATTTTGCTTCTTCTTTCTGTTTTGGTGTGGGGTTTCTGAATTTTTTGATTTTCCAAATTAGGTTGATTTCTGATGGAGTGAAAAGTTTTGAGATTTTAAAAGTTTGGATTTTCCATCAATCACACCCATATTTTCACTTGAAAAATAAATGGTAGAATTGGGTTTTTTTATTTGTATTCTTTGTTTATTTTAAAGTATATCGATGCCGTTGTTGCTTGATGATTGTAGTCTGAGAGTTCCACGCAAACTTGTCCTTTTGTAAATTTCTGCTGTATTTGTTTAATGGGGTGTGCTATGTTCTTAATTTTTTATTTTATTGTTAGATTTATTTTCAATTTTGATGTTAAATTATTGAAATTCTGTGTCTTTGTGTAATTTCGGACAGGGTCAACGTATTTTTGGTTGGGGGAGGTGTGGGTTACAGCCTGCATTGGAGGATATATAAACTGGAGTCATCGCGATGCTGGGTTTGAATCGTGATGGCTTCAATATCGCGAGCTTTTTCTTTCATTTGGCTGAATGGCATCCACTTGAATAGCAGAGCTCAATTGGGCTATTGACGCCCTCTCCTCTCCCTCTGTAAACTCAGGTTTGGATTCACTGCCACAAACCCAAGTTGTTAAATTGTGATTGGTACGGTAGATTTTCGCCCGGTTGGAATTAGTATTTAGTTTAACATGAAGAAGAATTTGGAATGTACTTATCTGAAAAGTAAAATGAAGAACAAGAAATTCTAACAGAATGGTTTGGTTTGGCTGTTGCTTGATATGATTTTGCAGAAACAACTTGATGGTCAAACAAGAACCTTTCTTTCTGACTTTCTGTTTCAGTTCTAATTGAATTTTGTGAAGGCTAATATGTTAAAGTTACTACATATATGTGCGTGTGTGCGTGGACGCATTACATATATATGTCAGTCGTGAAATCTATGATTTGTATAATTATTTGATATGTTCTTGTGCAGGCTTCTGGAAAACATTTCGTTTGTTGGTGGGAGCTATAGTTATTACTACAAATATTGAGTTTCTAATGTTCCTTAAGAGTTCCTCTCTTGCTAGAATGATGGGCTGCTGCAGTTGCTTTGGCTTCATCAGAAAACCCAAGCGGAAACCAATGCCTAATTATGGATTTAATAATCACTGTTCCCAGGAGCTGTTGTTGGATGATGATATAGAAGATGATGATGATGGTTCATATAATGGTGAGGTTACAAGAACTACTCACGCTGATGAAAGTGAGCCACAATGCTGCGGTAATCGTTCTGAGGAGATTCTACACATCAGAGAACTGAATGGAATGATTTGTAGGCCAAGCCCTGTGAAGGAAACCTGCAAAGTTGTTCGCACAGAGGTAAATATTTTATGTTCTTTTGGGGTACAAGGTACCATAGGTTTAGGTTTGAATTCACTTCTCGTACCAGTTATACATTTTTGCATGCAATTTCAGGATGAAAATGGGAATAAGATGGTCAATGAGTACGTTCGTGAGTGTAAGATTGGTGCAGGAAGCTATGGAAAAGTGGTAATTTTTGTCACTGATAGTGGTTTTTCTCCCTACTTCTTACTGGAAATGTTTCTTCACTCTTTTTGTGTTGACATGTGCAACAGGTTCTGTATCGAAGCCTTGTAGATGGACAGCATTATGCAATTAAGGTAGTTTTTCTTTGTCTTAAATTACTGGCTTCAGTATTTTGGATGAAAGAGATAACTCTAGTCATGAAAAGTGCTTTTCCTGCTCCTAGGAAATTTCTGTGCAGTAGATGAAAAACAGTTTTGATTGATGATAACTTTGTAAAACTAATTTACTTAGATAAAGGCTAAGATAGCATTTAGTATTTTCTTGGTATGTTCAAGGTAGAGATTTGGTTGTGTTACTATATGATATGAGCTATTTATTTTTTTATTATAGAGGTTAAATAAGTTGAATTTTTGCAGGCCTTTCATAAATCTCATTTATTAAAGCTTCGAGTTGCACCTTCAGAGACAGCTATGACAGATGTTCTTCGCGAGGTATGCCTTTTATGTCTTCTTGTGTGAGTACATTTCTAGGTTCATAATGGGAACTCTTAAACAGTTGCCTTGTAGATTATGACTATTATATTTTCTAGATTCTTTTATTTCTTCTTGTTCAGGTGTCATATAAGTTTATTTGTGTGCATGTCTTGGGTCCGTAATTTATAATTGTGTTGTTGTAGTTGTCCAACAATGCTGCATATTCTACTCTACTAGAGCCTAACTTTTGTTATACTTTTGGGTTTGATTGCTCTTTTGCTTTTATATTAATGAAAGATAACTTAGGGTTCGATTTTTATTCACTCTATTGATGAATGCTCACTAATACTGTATTCCTTTACGTATAGGTTCATATTATGAAAATGTTGCACCATCCTAACATAGTTAATCTCATTGAGGTGATTGACGACCCAGAAATAGATCATTTCTACATGGGTACTAACTGCCTCTCTCTCTCTCTATATAAACTTATTTGCTTGATCCTGCAATGATGTTTGCTGTTCCAAACTTGTCTCAAAAAGAAAAATGATTTCAGAATGTCGTCCCTTACAACATTTTTCTGGAAACTCTGGTGGTTTTTAATTTTTATACATCTGAGTCGCTACGGAAATTCACCATACTAGTACAAAAAAATCAACAATATATGACCCAGTTGCCAAAATTAAAGGACACCATTGTCATGTCTTAATTTTTCTCATCAGCATTATTATTGTTATTTCGAACATTGAAGTATCAATATTTTTACAAAGTTTGTATTTTTGGACAACATACGTGGAGATGTATTGAATAAGACACATGGTATGTAAAAAATTATCTGGAAAAAGAAAGTGAATATCTTGTGTTTGTGAGATTATCCTAATGCAATATATTTTCACATTAGGATTACTTTCATGATCACATAACAGATATGTTATTCCTCATATTTTGAAAAATTACAAATTTTATGGCAAAATAAAATAAAATGAAAGGTCAAAAGGTCATCATATGTTAAATTTTGAGAAGATGACAAGATAGACAATGACAATGGTTTTCTTGGTAATTTTCCAAGTTGATACAATCAGCCCATATAAATAAGCATGTGCATCACTGAAGGTGACATTAAACCTTACAAACTCTATTAGACAACGGACATAACTAAAAAGGAAAAGAAATCATATTTCCATCGGAAAAAAATGGCGAGGGGACTTTAGACTAATTAATAATCGCTGTGCTTTAATGTTAAATGTTAACCAGTACCATTTGTTTAGGCCCATGCTTAACTGCAAGTTGTTCTTTTGCTTTTTCATATTCTGTTATCAGTTCTTGAATATGTTGAAGGCAAATGGGTTTGTGAGGGCTCTGGTCCACCAGGTGGCATAGGAGAACATACTGCAAGGAAGTACTTGCGGGATATAGTTTCAGGGCTAATGTACCTGCATGCTCATGTATGACCTTTAAAATTCAGTTTTGTATATATGCTTGGCCGAGCCCTTCTCTTTTTTCTGCTTTTGATGGGGATACATATTGTAAAGGAAATAAGTTTAATCCTTGTTTATCCATTTGGCCATATTTCTGGTGGTTAACACGTGGAGGATTTTATTTAATTTTCATGTGAATAATAAAACCATCTTAATATAGCAGGCACAGAATTCAATCCTTTTTAGTGTCAACGTATGTGCGCTTACTAGCTTGCATTGGTTATAGAAACAGCTGAAGCCAAATAGAAAGAACATTACAACTCTTTTTTCACACACATGTACACTATAAATGGGGATGTTAGTTGAGTTCTCTGAGTCACAGAACATTGCTTTTTTTACTCTTAACATTAGGGTACTTGTGTTTTGTATATCGTGTTTGGGGTAATCCCTCTTAGGTAGTTCTTGTGCATTATCCTATTTGATTGTTAAATCTGTTAATTGAGTTCTCTGAGTCGCAGAACATTGCTTTTTGCTCTTTACATTAGGGTACTTGTTTTTGTATATTGTGTTTGGGGTGGTCCCTCTTAGGTAGTTCTTGTGCATTGTCCTATTTGATTGTTAAAACTGTTGAATACTTATTTTATAACTATGATTGATGTTCCATTGTGTGCGAATGCATGACAACAATTTAGATTATCCCAGAAAAACAGGACTACGCATACAGCACTGTAGTTTTTTCCACCGCATATGATATGTATCTCACTTTAATGCACATTGGTTTTCCATTTTTACTGTTGTGATTTTCTTGTGGTTCCTTTGACAACAGAATATAGTGCATGGCGATATCAAACCTGATAATCTGTTGCTTAGTCGCGATGGTACGGTGAAGATAGGGGATTTTAGTGTCAGTCAGGTTTTTGAGGTAATGGAACTTCTGAATGTTGTACAGTTTAGACACTCTTAGGATTTTTCTTTATTTCAATTCTGCTGAAGGAGACCATAAGAGTTATTTTGCTGTATAATTGTCATTGACTTGAGTTTATTGTTTTGTGGATGTATTGCTACCTTGTAATCCTATGTTTGCATGGGGGACTTTCAAAGCGAAGGAAATTTTAAGTCAATTGGTAAAAATGCAATATAAGAAGATTACCAATGAACTACATAAGCACTACAAAACTATGCACTAAACAAAGGACTTTCATAATGACACCTTTGAAGGTACTTAGCCTAAGTTCCATGGAACTTTGAAGTCCCTTATCCAAACATAGGGTTAGAGCAATAAATTACTTTTCTGATTTTATCTGTTTAGTTCTTTTTTTACTTTTGTTTAAGCCATGTTATTTGGAGTAATAACAGTTCAGTGTTACAATTAAGTGTTGTGTTGGCTTCATGCAGGATGATCATGACGAGCTGCGGCGATCTCCAGGAACTCCTGTTTTTACTGCACCTGAATGTTGTTTAGGTTAGATTTTCTTGCTATAAGATAGGTCAAATTTTCTTTGCAAGATATAAAAATATGCAAGTGGGTCTTCCAGTGGCCTTTTTGGGCCTAAGGGCACATCCTTCTCCTCAAGAAAACTGGTGGAAGCTCCTGGATTCAATCTATCTAGCGTGAGCATGCGGTTAATTAAAAAAACGAGTATATATTCATCTGCAGTGAATAAAGAAAAATGGCATATAAAAAGTACCCATCTGCTTTGAGTGCGAGTTCTCAGTTGACCTAATTTGACGTATAGCTTGATCAGTGCCTACTAGATTTAAATGTGGACTTGAATATGTATCTGCAAATTGCAATTGAGTTCAGATCCATAAAAACAAAACAAAAAAGTCTAAATTTGATATGAATCTCAGTTTATACTACATACACACATCTAATTTTTATTCCTTAGGGGATATACTAGTGGTTAATGTTATAACTTCCTCAAGTAAGACTTGAGTCCAAACCTTGTTCAGTGTTATTTCATAAGAAAATAATATTATATAAATTTTTTATTTTGTGGTCTTAGAAGGCTAATTAATCATATAAAGTCATATGAGTATGCCTATGCTATTATTGATTTTTCAACTATACACAAGTCAGTTGGCCATGAATTTTTCCATTATCTCGAGTCTAAGTTTAAGAAGATTTCCAGGTTTTGATCTGATATCCGACTGCTAAAGTTAAAAGAAAGATGATAGAAAATCTATAGTTTTGTAACTCAGGAAGATTAGTACCTTACAATTATTTTCTGATCAACAGGGCTAACCTATCGCGGTAGAGCTGCTGACACATGGGCAGTAGGGGTTACTTTGTACTGTATGGTATTGGGACAATACCCATTCCTTGGAGACACACTTCAGGATACATATGACAAGGTATGAAGACACCAGTATTCCTATGCAAAACCTAAGTATGTCATAAGTTTTTAGCCGGTGTTTATGGTGTTCCCTATAACTTATCTGATTGGAACTTTCTCCTTGCAGATTGTTAATAACCCTTTAGTACTTCCAGATGATATGACCCCACTGTTAAAAGATTTACTTGAAGGTCTTCTTTGCAAAGGTTGGTGACAAGCAATATTTTGATTTGCGGTTGGTGCTTTTCAGTTTTTTTGCAACTCTGTCATCCTTAATTCTTCCCCCCCCCCATTTGTATCTTATGTAGACCCAAACATGAGGTTGACACTGGAGGCTGTCGCAGAGCATACTTGGGTTATTGGAGATGATGGGCCGATACCTCAGTATTCATGTTGGTGCAAGGGTAAGAGTTTGCGAGAGGAATCTAATGGGATGAAAGATGAGTGTAGCATAACCAATACCGACTAGAGAGTTTAGGTTGGATTTGTTTATTGTACAGTAGAAAACTTAGGTTTTGCTCCTTCTATTTTCTCTCTTTGGGCTTGCTATATGATCTGCAACTGCAAGGGAGGTTAATCGTGACAAAAACAAGTCTCAAAGAAACTATCTGCAACTGCAAGGGAGGTAAATCGTGACAAAACCAAGTCTCAACGAAACTTTTCTGGAAGCCTGGAACACGCCTTGCCTTGACCGAAAAAGGAGGCAAGATGTTTCGGCTTTCCAATTTTGGTTTTCCAATTGCAAAAATTGTTCCGGTAAACTGGCTTTTTGGAATTGTCATGACTTTCGTGAGAGAATGGTGTTGTAAGTTATACTGCATCCGGCCCTTGGAAACTTATCGTTTTTGGACTACCTAAAGGAGAAACAGAACCTTTTTCTCTGTTGTGTATTTTGTGTTGCTTCGTTTCCTCTGCTACACTTAGTTTTATAGAACAACTCACCTGGTCTGAATAGTGGACCATTCCTATCTCTGCATAAGCTCATCCAGAATCTCACACGTCAAATGAATGGCCACTTTGGAATCTATTGTAGGAAGTACTTCTGCTCAAAAGCGTTTTTCTTTGTATCGGCTAGTGCCTGAAGCAAAGCTAATTTTTGTTACACAAACAATCTGGTTGCCGTAAACACTACAACCAATGTGCCTGAAGCGCTTTCTTTAGAAAAGTGCTTGGGAAGTGCTGTGTAATTTAAAAGTATTTGAAGTTTAGAACTGTCTTTGGAAAAGTATTGCTATACTTGCCACATTTGTACAACCTCCTTAATAGAGATAGGACCAGCAACACGTGGTATGTGGCACCCAACAAATCGTCGCACAAGGAAAACTCGAATTTTGTAGCCACCATTATCCTTCTAGACGGACAAAATTATGACTTCTTGTTGATGCACAGAAATTAGGAGGTAAGACATCTGGTGGCAGCTGCAGTTTGTCCAACATGGCGTTGCATTAGTAGAGGGCAAAATCAAAGATTTTCTACTTGTGTGAGGGCGGAGGGTGATCGGAGCACATTTTCCATTCGTTTTTGTCATCCGCCATGTCGAAGTAAAACATTTTAGAATATAAAGACGAGACAAAGATTGCATGGTCGAATGCAATAGGACTGCCACGCTCTTCTGGGCCTGGATAGTACGGCTTCAAAACTGGAGGTTCCGGCGGATCTAACCAGACCAGCGTCGAATTTCTGTCGAGAAGACCTCAAAAGAGGGGACGAAGTGGACACCAGCAAGGCTAATGGGACGATAAGAAAGAGCGAAAAGGCTGGAACTTCCCTTGTATTAAGGTTGGCTCCATTTGTGTGCCGAACTTACGTGTATCAATATACCAGACATCTTTGCATGGATGATATCTCATTTGGCCTTTTACGGGATCGTATCTGCTTCTCGCACCGCCGGCAGTAACAATGTGGTTGCCATAAACACCGCAACCCATGTGGACCGGAAGATTGGTGCCATGAACAAACCATGCTACGCGTAAACTACCTTTGCAGGGCGATGAAGATAACAATTCGCTCAAATCGATAGAACGAACGGCAAAAACAACCGTGCCGTCAATTTTGTACTCGGCAAAACATAAAAACAAAGACTCTCTCCCATAACTTCTTCTCAGGATTGCACGGGCTTCACATCCCTCTCGCCAAGGTATGATCCTACGATCCGTATCGCAGGAAAGAAATCCTAAACTAAATAGAAAGAAAAAAAATCAAATTAATCGTAATCCCAACAATCTCAAAACTTTATGTAATTCATGAACTCTTGACTAATTTATCACAACGCGATAATGATCTCGCATCAATAGTTTAGGGTCATTAGCTATAGTTTGGATGAGATATGGTGTAATTGTGACACTAAACTATTGTGGTTATTAATTGTTCGGTAGAAAAATATTGGGGTTTAATTAACCACTTATATAATTCATAGAGAAACAACGAGGTGGACTCTCTGTCCACAAATGACCATAGGTCAACGTTCGCGTAGACTCATGGTGATTCTTGAAAACAACAGTTTCCCATTCATCATCAGAACCAAAGGCGCACCTACCACCTTACCCTACTTTGTTAGGGAAGTATAACCTTGTGGGTCAATGAAATTCATTGCCAATGTATTTCACACTCCCTTCTTAATTTTCGGTCATCGAATCGAATAAATTGAAAAAGATCAATGATAAAAAATTAACAAAGTTGTGTGGACGTAAAAACCAATATGTAAATATCACTTTCCTTCATATATACAAAGAAGGAATAGAATTTTCTCTCATTACAATATTTTAAGAAGATAATATAAGGTAGTTGATTTTGATTAAACAACTTGTAACTAAATACTATGTTCAATTTTTTTTCTCCACTACAAACTGATTAGATTAGTGTGTAGTGTAGAAACAATTTCTTGCTTTTGTTGCACATATATATTTGCATTGTATGTTTGTTTCTTGTTTTTGTTGTATTTTTTTGTATGCATTTTGAGGAAAGGCTTATAAATGAAATTCACTCATGCTATCGATTTTTATTATTTGTTGTATTAGGAGTGTTCTTTAACTAGTGATGTAGCCTGGAGTTATAGCCCACTGGAGAAACAAATTTTCAGGATTGGATTTGGTTTCCAACTGCTAAACTTGAAAGAAAGAGGGTTGAACCTTCATTGTTTGGGCAGTGAGCAATGTTAGTAGACCAAATTTTTAAATCAAATTATGTGGATGTTGATGATTGAATTATTACTTAAGTTTTGATTAACATGATTATTTCTTATTACTGACACATTATTTGGTTTACAACTTTGATCTACCTAGCATTACCCTTGGACAGTAGGAGTTACCATGTTGAGTGGCATTTGAATTTGTTCCCTTTATATCCTCACCCTAATTGGGAATTTAACAATTCAAATGAAGGTCGTATTGGGAATGCTCTTCTAAGAAATACTTCTGCTTAGAAGTGCTTTTATAGGAATCGATTTTGCTAGGACGCACCACTTTTCCTTCTTGAGGAAGGAGCATAGCCAACACATAAAAATGGGCTGGTCGGTCAAAAGCTCGGGGCTAATTTCCTTCTGGGGTAAAACAACGTATAAAAAAGGGTTCGGCTATCAAAAGATCGGTTTCTTCGCAATTCAAAGTGGACAAACTATGGAGCCAAGAAGAGAGCTTTTGGCAGCAAAGATCTAGAGTGAAATGGCTTCAAGATGGAGACGCTAACACGACTTTGTTTCACCAATCCACCTTACAGAGGCGAAGGAGAAATAAAGTGATAAAAATTAAGGATGTGAATGATGTATGGATTGACTGTCCAAGGAAGTTGAGGGAAACCATTGATAGCCATTTTATTAACCTATTCACTTCGGTGGGGGCTTGGGAGTGAGGGTCTATTTTGTATTGTGTTAATCCAAGGGTGACTATTGAGATGAATGCATCCCTTGTAGCTCCGATAACTGTGGAGGAAATAAAAGATGCAGCGATGCAAATGGGTGGATTAAAAGCCCCTGGCCCTGATGGTTTCCAGGGCATTTTCTATCACTCTTTCTGGGAGAATGTGGCGGGGGAGATTAATGGTGTGATTGAGGAAATAATGAACAGAAATGGCAACCCCCTCAAAATCAACGCTACACTTGTTGTTCTAATCCCAAAAGTCCCAAACCCGGATACAGTTTCTCATTTCCGACCAATCACTCTGTGCAATTATTCTTACAAGATTCTGTCAAAAATCATGGCAAACCGCATCAAGCCCCTGCTTTCGGATTTGATCTCTCCTTCGCATAATGTATTCGTAGCTGGAAGACAAATCCAGGACAATATTGGAATTGCGTATGAGCTATTCCATTTTCTCAAAACTCGGAAAGCTAAGAGGAAATTCGAACTTGGGATTAAACTTGACATGCACAAGGCGTATGATAGGGTGGAGTGGGATTTTTTTATGGTAATTATGGAGAAGATGGGGTTTGATCCTAAGTGGCACAGCCTTGTATTGGGGTGTATTTCAACTGTAAACTTTGCTATCATGCTCAATGGCCAACCTGGGTCGAAATTTGTTCCCTTTCGTGGCCTCAGACAAGGTGATCCACTTTCACCTTATTTGTTCCTGTTGGTAAGTGAAGTCTTATCCTTACTGATTCAAAGGGCGAGTGATACAAACAAGATCAATGGTGTTCAATTTAATCCCCAAGGGCCGAGTATTTCTCACATCTTCTTTGCGGATGACACTCTAATTTTTTTAAAGGCTGATAAGAAGAACTGCTCCAATATTGTGAATCTAATCAAGGAGTATTGTCTGGCTTCTAGGCAGCAAGTTAATATGCAAATGTCCAATGTGTTCTTTGGTGCAAATCTTCCTAGTGCTCTAAGAGTGGATCTAGAAGGTATTTTGGGGATGCCTGCGGTGGAGAACCCTGGGATCTATCTAGGAGTGCCCGCCATCTGGGGAAGATCTAAGAAGGGGGGATTGGCTTATGTGAAAGAAAGGGTTTTGGGAAGAGTTCAAGGATGGAAGCAATCAACATTATCACCAGCTGGAAATGAAGTTTTGATCAAAGCAGTGGTTCAGGCTATTCCGGCCTACTTGATGAATATATTTAAATTTCCCGCTAATGTGTGTAATGATCTTGACTTTATCATTTCAAAATTCTGGTGGGGTCACAAAGGAGATGAAAGGCGTATTTATTAGATTTCTAGAAACACTATGGGCTTACCGAAGGCCGATGGGGGTTTAGGATTTCATTGCTTCAGGGATTTCAACGATGCCCTCCTTGCTAAGCAATGTTGGAGGTTGATTCATGATCCATACTCTCTTTGGGCTCGAGTTCTGAAAGCCCGCTCTTTCCCTCATTGCTCTTTCCTTGAAGCTAAGTGTGGTGGAAGAGCTTCGTGGGCTTGGTCAAGCCTTTTTTCAGGAAGAGATCTACTGCTGAAAGAATCCCATTGGTAGATTTTCAATGGGAAAAAGGTTCGGGTTTGGATTGATAGGTGGCTCCCCACTCTCCCAGATGGACACCTTCTTCCTTGAGGCGGTGTTCAGGTTAGCAGGAATGCTCGGGTGGCGGCATTATTGTGTCCTACAATTGGTGGCTAGGATATAGATTTTCTAAAACCTTTCATCTCGGCGATGGAGTACGACGCCATTGTGGATACTCAGATTGGTGATCCTAGTTTAAGGGACAGGTTGATTTGGCCTTATGATCGTCGAGGGATTTATACAGTTAAATCGGGCTATCACTATGTTCATGCAAAGCCGGCTCAAATGGTCAATTTGGGTTCGTCTTCCTCCTTGTCTGTTCCAGGAAATTTATGGAAAGTTATTTGGAAGCTACATACCCCACCTAAGCTTCGATGTTTCTTTTGGAAGACAGTTCATAATGCTTTAGCTACGTCGGCAGGCCTTTTTAGGAGAATGGTGGCGCCCTCACCTTTTTGTCCAATATGTCAAACTCACGAGGAGACCATTGAGCATCTCTTTCTTCTATGCCCATGGGTGGAATCAATATGGTTTG